CATGCGCCTCCGTACCTCTGCACTTTACTTCCGCACCTCCTCTGAGTCTCAGTGTGCTTTTCTCTTTCCTTCTAGTTGTAGAATTTCCACTCAGCCAGCCTTCCTGTGGTTCTGGATGCTGTTCGTTTTGTCTTTTAGTTTTATTTTTGAAGTGGTTGTGCGAGGCAGCAATTTCTAGTGTTTACCTATGCCGCCATCTTGGTTTCTCCTCCATGTTCGTTTTTTTTTTTTTTAAAATATGTTTTTATTGATTTCAGAGTGAGGCATCAATGATGAGAGAGAATCACTGATTGGCTGCCTTCCCCAAGCCCTGTACTGGGGATCGAGCCGCAACCTAGCGTGTGCCTTGACAGGGAATCCAACTGTGATCTGCTAGTTCATAGGTTGATGTTCAACCACTGAGCAATACCGCTGGGCCAAAGTCCATATTCTTAAGGACTTGCCTCTTCCTGGGAGTTAGGTGGAGTGTGCTATCAATAGCACCTGAACCCTGGGCCAGCCTAAATTTATTCTGTTAGAAATTACCCCCAAATGCTTTCATATTATGACAATTACTTTTGTTGTTGTTGTTAATCCTTACCTGAGGATATTTTTCCATTGAAATTTATAGAGTGGAAGAGAGGGAGAGAGACACACAGGGGAAACATCAATGTGAGAGAGACACATCAATTGGTTGCCTCCCGCAAGCATCCCAACCAGGGCCAGGGATCAAGCCTGCACCTGAGGTATGTGCCCTTGATCGGAATCGAACCTGGGAGCATCAGTCTGCAGGCCGATGCTCTAGCCACTGAGCCAAACCGGCTAGGGTGACAGTTAGTTTTTTAGTACTTTGTACACATACAAAATGGTGTATGGGTGACATATTACAGCACCCATGTCAGCATCCTCTAAATTACCTAGTGATCATGATATACAAATTTCACATAATAGAGGAAGCCATGGAAGAATTTTAGTTAATAAATCTATTACATATATTGGACTTTTAAATAGATAGCATTATGAATTAAGGTATGATTTACATTGGGATGAAGTCCGAGGTAGAGAGCAAGGGCAAAAAGGCAGTTTCACAGCAGATCAGTAAGGTGTCTGGTCAGGTCCATTCACATGTCCTGGATACTCAAAAAAGTTGCACAGCAATGAATGATCAAGCAATACAAAACAAATAGGCAACAACAAATTCCTGTGTTGGAGGAAGAGGGATTCCTTCCTTTTTCTAAAGTGTCCTCCCCTGTTCTGACAATTTTTTTAAATTCTCACTTGAGGACAAGCTTAGAGGAAGAGAGAGAGAGAGAGAGAGAGAGAGAGAGAGAGACATTGTTGTGAGAAATATCGATCAGTTGCCTCTCGTATGTGCCCCAACCAGGGATCAAACCCACAACCCAGGTATGTGCCCTGACCAGGCATCGAACCAGCAATCCTTTGGTGCACAGGTATACAGGATGATGCTCAACCAACTGAGCCACTCCAGCCGTGCACCCTCTCCCTGTTCTAGCTCTTCCAACTTTTCCTTAGGTACTCCCACTATTCCTTTCCCCTGCTGCCCTCCTTCAATATTGCCACTGTCACTCAGTCCCATAGTATCTTTAGGCATTATGATAGTTATAATGAACGTGTACTGAATTTTTGCTAGGTACTGGACAGTGTGCTCAGAGCTTTACAAACATTATTTCCATTAATCTTCTGCTAAGTACTTTTTATTAATTATTCCTTATTTAACTCTTACAACCACTATATGAGGTAGTTACTATTGTTATCTACATTTTACAGATAAAAAAAAGGAAGATCAGACGAAATGATTAACTTGTCAAAGGCCACTTAGCTAGTAAGTGAATGAGCCAGGTGACTGCTCAAGTCTGCCTGACGTTAGGATCTGCATGCCTAAGATCTCAAACCTCATTTGTCCCTATTGCCTGCCACTTCCCATTGCCATATTTCCCTTCTTTCTTTGGCCTCAGATTTACTGGATATGCCAGTGCCTTCCTGAAAAACATTGGCCTCCAAGCTCCACACTCTTGTGATTCTGAGTCACCAGCATCTCTTCTTGCTCCCCAACTATTGCCTTTCTCCCAGGTTTAGTCATTGGCCTTTTGCTAGTCCCTTGAAAGCACTTAAAAAAGTTTTTGTATATTTCAGAGAGGAAGGGAGAGGGAGAGAGGGATAGAAACATCAATAAGAATTATTGATTGCTGCCTCCTGCATGTCCCCTACTAGGGATTGAGCCCACTACCTGGGCGTGTGCCCTGACTGCAAATCAAACGGTGACCTCCTGGTTTATGGGTCGATGCTCAACCACTGATCCACACTGGCTGGGCTTGAAAGCTCTTTCTCACTTTTTACTAGAGGCTTGGTGCATGAAATTCATGCACGGGTAGGGTCCCTAGGCCTGGTTGGCAATCAAGGCTGATCGGGGCCTTCCTTTGTTCTGTGCCGCCCCCTGGTGGTCAGCACACATCATAGAGTGGTCGAACTCTTGGTCAGTTGAACTCCTGAGGGGACAATTTGCATATTAGCCTTTTATTATATAGGATTATTTTTTTAATCCTCACTCAAGGGTATTTTTCCATTGATTTTTAGAAGGAATGGCAGAGAAAGGGAAAGACAGAGAGAAATATCAATGTGAGAAAAACACATTGATTGGTTGCCTCCTATACGCACCTTGACCAGGGCCCAGGCTGGGAGGAGCCTGCACCAGAGGCACATGCCCTTGAATCCAAACCAGGACCCTACAGTCCACAGGCCGATGCTCTATCCACTGAGCCACATCAGCTAGAGTTAAAAGCTCTTTTTTAAAAAAATGTTGCAGCTTGTACTCTTTATAGACACTTGACCAAATCTCTAGCCCTGACTTCTCTCCTGAGATGTAGTACTGCTTCTCTACTTGTTAGACATTTCCATTTGGTGGTTACCCTACCATTTCAAACACGTGCTTCAAACATGAATTTGCTTTTTATTACCATCCCTATTTTATCTTTATTTCTCTACATAAAGGCTCCATCAAATCACTATTTTTTTCATAATAAAGTCTGTATTTTATTCAATCATTAAAGTTTCTTCCAGAGCCGAAGTCTCACTTTGATGTAACTTTTTAGTCTTGTGTCCTAAAATGAACTACAATTTTAGCCAGATCAGTTAAGCCACTGTCCTCTATGTACCTGCTTCACCTTCCTGCTGTCTCTTAAGACCTGGTGCAAGGCCTATCTGCTTCTGGGAAGCCTTTACTTAGCACTTATCAGGAACCAAGAACATGATGTTAATTGTTATCTTTTCCTGGGTTCGTACTGGATCTCCTCGATTAGATTGTAACCTTTATAACCCCTTCAGTATCTAGTGTGGCACACTGCCTTGCATGTAGTAAATACTTTGTAAATCTTAGTTAACTAGAGGCCCCATGCATGAATTCGTGCATGGGTGGGGGCCAATCGGGCTGGGCTGGCGGGGGAGGGGGCGCAGGACATTATCCGGCTGGCCCTGCCCCTGATGGGGTGGGGGGGCGATCCGGGGGTGTATGTCAGGGGGAGGGGCTATGGGAGGTTGGCGGGCTGGCCCTGCCCCCTGCTCGAACTCTGGTCGAACTCCTGGTCAAGGGGACAATTTGTATATTACCCTTTTATTATATAGGATTGTTGGTTGTTGGGTAGGAGTGTAGAATATGGAGAGGGACTAGCCATAGAAGTGTATTCAAAGAGTTCACAGAGGACAAAGACTATATTTTCCTCATCTTATTATTTTGGGAGCTTAAGCCAGTGCCTAGCCATCAGTAGTTCAGCTCTGCTCAGCAGACCTGCTTTTACCAAGTGTTGACTCTGTGCTGGTGCTGAGCTTCTGTAAGGATTTGTAAATGAATGAAGGGGTTTGGAAATTGTGCCTTCACTTCCCAGCTTCTGTTTGTTCACTATTCATGCAAGTGAATCTCAATGTTTCTATTGTTGGCAGGTATTGAGAGAAGAGTCCCAATGCACAAACCTAGATGCTTCCTTTCCAGGGTGGGTTTCTTCTCCAAATCAGGACTGCTCTACTGGTGTCCCAGAAAACCTCCAGATGGGTCACAGCTTTTATTGGGGTCAGCATGTAAGAGAACCTTCACTCATGTGATCACCAAGAGGTGTCAAAGAGGACGGAAAAGTCAGAAGAAACCAAGCCATCTTGGACCACTAGATAGTTCCTGGCAGGAAAGGTAAGACCAAGGCTGATGTTCCTTCCTCTTAGCAAGTCTGAATCTCTGAGCCTACTGAAATTCTGTGTTCCTGATGTAACTAATGTTTGATGGCAAGGATTCGAAGGGGCAGCTCAGGTAGGATAACCAAGGTGAACTTGAAGACATCTGAGGAATATTGTGGGAAATGCTTTGGGATTGCAGAAAATATTCACCTTGTCTTTTAGTGTGGTTTTCACAGAAAGGAGATATTAAACTGGGACCTTGTCTTTAAAAAGGTCCAGGGCAGGTTTACTGAAAACCAGAGACCCAGAAAGATATTAGATGGACTAGAAATGAATAGTCTCATTGCAGCCATGCATACACATAGATACCTTATTTTATGCAACAAATGTATTTTCTAAATCAAATTATATTTAAAAAAGCATTAGGGAGGTGGGCTAATTAAAGGAACCCAACAGTGAAGCCTTTTTTAATATGACTAATTACCTCTTGATAAATCTGGATTTTTCTTGTATTAGGTTTGCCCATCTGTTTTGCTTTGTTAGTAGACAGCACCAAAATGGGCTCTTCTCCCAGACTCTATCTCCCCAGGGGCATGAGAATTAAGTCTTTCGAATAATATGAAAAATGCCAGAGAAAGTACTTATGTATAGTGTAGGTACTTAGTACATCCATCTACATTATAAAAGGCCAGGGGCCATCACGACCTAAACGACCAGACGGATGACCGTCACCAGGAAGTGAGGCCCACAGGCTCCTATCACAGCAAGGCTGGTGGCCAGTGGGCGGGGCAGCGGGGAGGGTGGGCGGGGCAAGGCGGGGGGGGGGAG